TATTTGATATGGTTAGGGTTAGGATTAGGGTTAGGGTTAGGATTAGGGTTAGGGTTCGGGTTCGGGTTAGGGTTAGGGAGTACTGTAGCTGAGAGGGTCTATGTCCCCCAGTGTACTGCCGGAACGTACCCTGGGTACGGTCCGGTATACCGGAACGTACCCTGGTACTATCTAATATGCCGGACCGTACCTCGCCTACTCCACTAACGATTCTGGGGAGTCGCCCAAGCCTACTCCCTAACCCTAACCCTAACCTTAACTCTAACCCTAACCCTAATCCTAACCCTAACCATATCAAATAGTGACCAGGGTACGTTCCGGTATACCGGACCGTACCCAGGGTACGTTCCGGCAGTACCCTGGGGGACATAGGCCCTATGAGCCCTAATGAACTATGTTACCTAAGTATGTACACATTGTAAAAGTACTAAAACATATAAAGTAAGTGTAATACAGTTGCTGTTCGTTACTCTAGAAGTTGGCATACATATAACTTAATTATATAAAATATGCCAACAGTTCATATAATTGATCTTGCATTAAACATTTCTGAGGTACCTATTTCTGATGTTGAAATTTGCACTGCATTTCAGGTAAAAACTCTGGCAAGGTTGTTGTATGGAACATGGGACCAGTGAAAAATGAGGAGGATGAGAAGGATGTAAATATGCCCAAAATGCTTTGCACAATGGACAATCATCTAGGTTAGGTGCTATTACCAATTCATTTGATGGTTACGTATGCATGCATTTAGCTCTAGTACTATAGCCCCCTTTCATTAACTGCCGCAGGGCTATGGAACATCTTGAACTGGATTTCGCACAACACCGGGTCCTGACAGGTTCCACTCAAAATGGCTCACAAAACGGAAAATGATCGGGCTTTTTAACACTTATTTATCTACATGGACATCTCACCTAACTTTTTGAACCCTTTCCACAACTTTACACCATGTATTTATCCATTTATTCCACAAAGTGCTAGCACTACTTGCGTTTCGTTCTGAAATGCTTTTCTGTACACGTGTGACGTCATCCGAAATGTACTAGGCTGAATCATAGCTGCCCATGTGTTTTGTCTACATTTCGGGTGACGTCACGCGTGTACACAAAAGCATTTCAAAACGAAACGCAAGTAGTGCTAGCACTTTGTGAAATAAATGGATAAATACATAGTGTAAAGTTGTGGAAAGGGTTCAAAAAGATAGGTGAGATGTCTATGTAGATAAATAAGTGTTAAAAAGCCCGATCATTTTCTGTTTTGTGAGCCATTTTGAGTGGAACCTGTCGGGACCCGGTGTTGCTGCGAAATCCAGTTCAAGATGTTCTATAGCCCTGCGGCAGTTAATGAAAGCGGGCTATAGTACTAGAGCTAGCATGCATTATGCTTATGGAATTAAGAATGCACTGATTGCACTCCTGGTGGATTTCTGCTGAATGTGAAAATGCTTTTGATGATTGAGCTAATTCTAAAACTTCTAAGCAAATTGATTTGATGAATTGTGGGTGCATTTGTCAATATGGGGTGAACTCTCATAGAAACATTAGTAAATTTACTCTAATTGAGTTTGTGCTCGACGGTATGTTTCAGCATGCGTCAACTGTGTGCGATGGTCGCACAGTGGACGCTATCTAGCATCAGGAGGTGATGACAAGTTGGTAATGATCTGGCAGTTTAGCAAGTGAGTGAGTGAGGATTGGCTATACCTCTCCATGGGTTGTGTATGTAATATTTAGTACCAAATACAATCAAGAATATATTATCATTCATAATGGTGTTTCCTCTACTAAAATTGTAGATTTGTGACATTACCGGTACTTTACCCTGCAGGGACCTACAGCTAGCATATCAGGGTTCTCCAACAGCACTTATAGCCTGGCGGCCCGCCAGGCTATCGTCGAGCCTCGCCATCCGAAAATGCGGTCGAGGTTATATCACACCCCTCACAGCAGGTCCTATCCCAGAAACCATTGCAGCCTACGTCCTACTCCCTAACCCTAACCCTAACCCTAACCCTAACTCTAACCCTAACCCTATCCCTAACCCTAACCCTAACACTAATTAAATTTAATTAAATTTAAAAAAAATTTTTTAAATTAAATTGTTGTAAATAAATCATGTAAATATTTGCGTTAATTGGGAAAAAATAGTTAAATAGATAAAGATAGAAAAATTACAAGATGGAAAAATAAAAAAATAAAAAAAATAAACAGATGGGATTCGAACTAACAACCTTCAGACGTAACGCTTCCCGCTCTACCAGCTCAGCTAGTCGGCCGTATTGGAATTATATATTATGGATGTGCTATGCATACATGCATACATGCATCGGTGCGGTGGTTTCTGGGATAGCCTGCTGTGAGGGGTGTGATATAACCCTAACCCGAAAATGCACCCGCCACTCTAAATATCATAGCCGCCATGATAAATATCATAGCCCCCGGACCCCCCTAGCACGCAAACCGCCTTTGGCGATTTGCAACTAGGACCGTAAAGGCAGCACCCGCCATGCTATAATGAAAAAGCTTGGAGAACCCTGCATATCATAAATTTCAAAACCTGTAGGTGAAATAAGATGTCAAGATGAATTCATGTTTTTAAAGAACATGGCGCTGTGATATAACTGCCCATTTTGGAGTAAGTTGGCATATATTACCTTCTTAGGTATGGAGGCAGTTCTTCGGCATTTGGAACCGGGGGCAAAGTAGAGAATGTGGAACAGTGGCGGTGCGTGTACACACTCAGGGGCCATTCTGGAGGTAATCGCAATGGAACAAGATACATCACTATAATGTAACAATAATACAAGCACCATCAAGTATTCTTATGTTGAAAATGGAGAGTGGCTTCAAAGTGAGAATTAAAAATGACTTTGACAGTGGTTATTTTAAAGTTTTTATTATGAAAATATTGCTCAGAAACGCTCAATCCAAAAAAATATAGCGAAATATGGACCTCAAAGCGGATATATCACTGATGACACCAACTTTAAAAACACCAAGATTATATGCAGTTATAGCATAGAAAACTGGATTTGACCACATCGTACCAGCTCCGCATATAATTGTGTTCGGGGAATCTAAAACCAAATGGCGCCTTCTAAACAAGTGCACCCATAATGCACCTGATTTAAACAAAAGGTCAAGGTCAAGTAAGTACGTCAAGTATTAAACTCTGTTAGTGCTACGCTAGTATTAGCCTCTGTGTTTACGCTCGGACCAAAATTGCTGCGGTGCGATGATTTGCATTACTGCACCCTGGTCGATGTCTCGCGCTACCGCGAGAAAGTCCGTGAAATGACAGTGGAAATCAAAAACAGAACGTAAAATTCTAATCGTGTATGTTATTGAAGAATAAGAAGGTTCTAAGACATTTTATCGTTACTCTAGGCAATTGCTGTTACTCTAGCAATAACGGTAGGTATCATGAAAATGGGGAAAACACTGGAGAATTCTTGTAATTATGGCTTTAAAGCCTTTATTTCGAATATAATTTTCAACCAGTCTTGTGTTTCCCCCACTTTTACGTCACTTACCGTTATTGCTTGAGTAACAGCAACTGTATAGAGTAATGATAAAATGTCTTAGAATCTGCGTACTTAGCTATTTTATCTAAAAACATGGATGATTCAATTTTGATTACTCACTTTGATTACCGCCGCCATCTCTTGTGAATCTCGGACTATCTCGTGATATCCGTCTGATCGTATATAGCGCGAGATATGTGCCAATTCCAAAATAGAAATGGAGTAAACTACACAGAATCGGATGCTCTTTTGTATAAATTAAGTGCACAATGTGTACACTAAGGCACATTTGCAAATATATTGTCGCTATAATCAAATGTGCCATGGTGTTACGGTGTGTTCAATTCCAATTTTCTATGCTATAACAGCATAAATTCTTAGTGTATTTCAAGATGGTGTAATCAGTAATATATCCGCTACGAGGTGAGACTATGTTTCACTATATATTTTTTAGATTGTGCATTTTGGAGCAATGATTTCGAAATTATTCCTTTAAAACTGCATGTTCTCGCAGCAAAATGCATAGATATACCTACTGTGAGCTCATCTATGTTGCAAAAATTCACTACACCTCATTTGTATTGCTACTTTCATAACATTTCTTCCCAAAATCTAAACGAGAGTACTTGTCTTACAAAAGTAGTGCCACAGTGATGTTTACACATCCGGGACACAGCCGAGTGATCGTTAACAGTTCATATCTATAATAAAACAAGTTATAATTCATTATTATATGTTTGTTCAGTATAGAATTGTGAAATTTGTTTAAATCACATGTTATCCACATTACTTATGCAATCAGCAAACAAATATATAGAGTTTTTGTTCCAGGAACTAATTGCGCTAGCGTAGGGCTACTATTTAGTGTCCTCTGGCACTTGATTCGCTCAACATAATTTATTTGTCTTTTTGCCAATACTACGTCAGACGGGGTAATTCAAAATAGTAATCTTCGGAGCACATTTCTGGCTCAATGAGAACATTTCGTGATGTTTGCATACTGCAAGTGTGCTCACAGTAGGTGTATATAGGCTTTTTGTTGCAAGGTTTATCCACTTTAAGGTTAGAAGGAGACAGTTCCTAACGTACTTTGTTCTATGACACAGATGTCCTGGATTTGGCATGGTCCCCGCAAGACACCTGGGTGGCAACTTGTAGTGTGGATAACTCGGTCGTCATATGGAATGCAAACAAATTTCCTGGTATAGTGCAATATAGGCATTTGTGACACGCCATTACTTATAAGATGCCATTATGGTGGCATGCTGATGCACATACCAGAACTATAAGAGTTATGAGTATTTGGTGCTTGGTGGGGAAGGTGACTGTGAGTAAGCTAATTGAGCAGCAGTTGAGTCAGCAGTTATTCTTGTAACCCATTTATGTGTGTGGACATTCAGTGACTTTATTTTTCGTGGTTTGCTTTTTTCAGAGATTGTTACGGTCATACGCGGGCACAATGGCTTAGTAAAAGGTGTCACGTGGGACCCCGTTGGAAGGTACTTGGCCACTCAGGTGAGAGAATTAATTTCAAACAAGGGCGTTTATTGTTTGCATCTAGATGACAGAATTGCTTGCTGAGAATGCAATGCTGGAGTGATAAAGCGATTTGTTATTGACTTCTGTTTCTTCGCGTATGGTTACGTAGTATAGTAGGTTTTTGCTACCTGTTCCAGTCGGATGATAAATCTTTGCGGATATGGAGAACTTCGGACTGGCATGAGGAATACGCAATAACTAAGGCATTTGAGGAGGTATGGCTTTGGATAGGATAATATAATCGCAGTGGCTACTCGTCCGGTCATCCATTACAAAGCTCAGCACAGATTCCCAAATCCACATTACGATTAAGCCATGCGCCCTTTCAAATCGTTGATTTTACTGGATTTGCTATTGCTTCAAAAGTTACCAAAACACCTTTTTTGATTAAATACCTAAAGGCAAGTAATATTATGGCAAAAACTTATTGTTTATCATTCTTTACTGAAAAAATATAGTTGGGTTCACATGAGAAATATATGACTGAAACGTAGCCTGGGAGCTCGGCGTCCGGTAACCGGACACGTAGCCACGGCCTAATATAAATAATTGTAAATAATAATAATAATTGTAGGTGGAATTATCGTGCAACAAAATTTGTGACGTGATTCATTATATCCAAGTTTTTTGTCGCATGCCAATAAAGTTGTATGCGAGTGAGGTGACTCTAACCGACCAGTTAAGGTGATGCATGTACACTAGACATTATGTGACTGGAGATGGATGGCTTTGGTCTAGCCAAAGGCATGCTGACATTTCACCAATGTGAGTGAAATCAGGTTAATTTATGAGGCCAGCAGCATATATACATCTAGCCAGGAGTGGATAATAGATCATGGATAATGGATAGATAATGGATAATCTCTATTATCCACTCCTGATCTAGCTATATGTCGTGCTACTAGAACCTGAACTTCACTTCACATGACCGGAAGCGTATACTACTCAGTGGACTATTCAGCTCTGTAACTATTACAACAACTAGGGTGAGCCACGTATATGTGTTAATGACAGCAGAAATGTCTCCACTGTGTGCCAGACGGTGGCTCTCTTGTGAGTGCAGTGTTTGTGCTTTTAGTCGGGTGGCACCACGCTCGTACTGAGACTGGGATGGTCACCCGATGGCTGTTGCATCGTCAGCGCACATGCAACTAACAACTCTGGCCCGACAGCACAGATCATCGAGAGAGATGGCTGGAAGACGAACCTGGACTTTGTGGGCCACCGTAAAGCCATCACCTGCACTGTGAGCGTAGCTGCGAATATATGATCAGGACTTTATCGTGTGCTTTAACATTATCATTAACCTCACCCTGATGTGCTCCTGCAATCAACTCACTTATTCCTAATCTTCCTGCAATCTGCCACTTGAAACATTTAATGTCAGTGAGCTTTCCTATAATCACAATCGAACCTGTTTGTAATCACATCTTGAATTTTGAATGTTAGTAATTGCAACTGAATTTGTAAATCTCATGCTGTCTCTTTATTTTCGTGCAGCAAATTAAGCACACAGATCTCATCTCTGACTTAACTGGATGCAGAAGACAACTTTTTCTCGTACTTTCTTTGCAGAGGTTCAATAAATGTGTCTTCTCTAAAGCACTGAAAAAAAATGGAAAGGTGAGATCAAGTCCATGATGATAGCATACTGTAATATTACTAGACTTTTGATGCAATTTGCGATAATCACTCGGATACACTGCCAATGGAGAGCACGTGCGTGTATTTACTTTGCACGTTTAAGCTGTGATTAAACCTCTAAATTCTTCTCTTACCGATTTTCCTGTGCTGTTGGTCTGTTGGTCGTGCCACCAAACAGATTTATTCCCCCTGTCACGATTCTATCAGTTGGACTATGATCGAGGGAAATTGGTAACATTTCTCTGCAGTGATTGAACCTATTGAAATTCTTACCTGTTATCTTGTAATGATGATCAGCCGCGATGAGTCGGGGTCAAGGGTCAGCTGCACCAACGATGTGTGTTGTGTTTTACAGCCGCAGCAGTATGCTTGCTGTGCGGTGGGCAGCAGAGACCGATCTCTCTCAGTCTGGGTATGTACTACTTACTACTTCACTCCATCATGACAGTTAGTCGGATCTCATATCAGATACTCTAATTGGCCCAGCCAAAAGAGTATGCAGTTCTCTTACCATGCATCTCCTCTACACGCTCTGGCATGTGTTAGCTAATTGAGTTGGTTGCTTTCCCAAGGTAACGTATATGTATTAGTAACTGTTCCTAACCATCATTACTTGGAAAAGTAGACTTAAACTTATCAAGATTCCACTCGTCTGCCTGATAGTGCTCAGTCGATGCTACGATGATGTCTGCATAGTTATAATCATAATATATTCTATTGTGAAGTTAATTTGTCTGTAATAAAATGCAGCCAATCATTAGGTCTAGTAACGCAAAACGTCTACGTGTAGGTGGTGAACAACAGTAGAGGACGTCCATAGGCGGCAGGACTGAATAAGCATCGAACAGAAATTAATTAAAAATACTCACACTGTTACTTCGCATACACAACTTACACTTTATTTATGTCAGATAACTACAGATTCATGCTCTATGCTCTGCTCGAAACTTTTGCCAGCTCTATGATGCGAATTTCTGCAAAGTAGTCTGAACACATTTCAAACACAAAAATGACCAACCGGTCGCTGTGTCTACGTTACCTGATGGAATGTTACAACTACACGACAAGACCAATTTTACTTCTAATGCTTTCTAGACGTCCACGAGGCATCTAACTTGTGTGCGTAATGCAAATTATTGCACTCTAGTGCCGAATTTCAGCACACAAAAAATCCAAAATGGGCTTTTTCTAGAGACGAAATAGTGCAGAGGCTTACTGTTGTATGCCTTCTATACTCTGCTTTTCAGTTGACCG